AAACTCTGAATGTAATGGTGGTGGTGTTGGGTTTCCCCTCACTGCTCTTTTAAACCTCTTCCCACCCCCCCTTCCCTCTCTTTCCCGTCATTTGAAATACACTCAATTCGCCTTTTCAAACCCTTCTCTGCTAACATTGCTGTTATTTACCGTCCCCCTGGTTCCCCTCTTCTCTTCCTTGACCACTTTGCTGCCTGGCTACCCTATTTCCTCTCTTCTAACATCCCATCCCTAATTCTTGGGGACTTCAATATTCCTATAAACCCACCTTTGACCTCTGCAGCCAATAAACTACTTTCAATTACTTCCTCCCTCGGGCTATCACAGTGGGCAAATTCTCCCACCCATGTAGCTGGCAATACCCTTGACCTAATCTTCACTTATGCATGTACTGTATCTAATATCTGCAACACTCCATATCCACTCTCTGATCACCACCTCTTATCGTTTGCTCTCACGTACCCCCTCACCCAACAACCTCCGCCTAACCACCCTCAACTCAGGAGGGACCTTAATTCTCTTGATCTCCAACAGTTGTCAGCTGACATTGATTCACAACTGCTGTCCATCCCTTCCCTCTCCTGTCCTTTACTGGCCATCTCCATGTATAACTCTACTCTTACATCTGCCTTGAACACTGCAGCGCCACTCCAAACAAGCACCTCAAGGAGGACCCGCCCCCAACCGTGGCATACTAAATCAACACGCTACCTGCAAAGATGCTCCCGTTGTGCTGAACGCTCTTGGAGGAAGTCTTGCACCCAGTCAGATTTTCTCCACTATAGATTCATACTGTGTTCATACAGTGCAGCCCTTGCCCTTGCCAAACAGTCCTATTTTTCCTCTCTCATTAGTTCATGTTCCCGCACCCCCAGGCGTCTCTTTGACACCTTCATTTCTCTTCACCCCGCTGTGGCCACCACCCAAACCAACCTGTGACAGACCCATCTGTCTGGATTACAAATACTTTGTTCGCCTGTTTTGCCAGTTACATGAATTTCCCCATTCGTATGCTTTATTCAAGGGAATGTTGGTTTTTGTCGAACGGAACTACCGAACGGACGGCCACCCAGAAGAGAAGTGTGCTGCTGGTTAACCTATTGATCCCAATTAGAACGTTGCGGTTAACCACAGACACTTCTCAATTAAAACCGAATGCCGGGTGGTCGTCGTTCGTATGTCGACCACGAGGCGGCGGCCATTTTGTCCATGCGAAAGACCAGCGGTGTTCGACGATTATTTCATGGATCTGAAAACGGACACTTTTTCAGCCGAACACCGCTGAAGCCATCGACCTCCCCTTCTCAATCGACAAAAGTATACGAATGCCAGCTGTTCGGGAGATTCAACCACACGAATGGACTTAACCCAGATAGCCGTCCCATGGAGTCAATCGCATACCGAAGAACTGAAAGAGACTTTGACTCCATGGCGATTGAACTGTGCGAATGGGATCTGAGCGCTATTCTCCAATAATGTGCCCTCAGATCCAGGCTATCTGGGGATATGCAATACGAATGTAATATGTTCGGCAGTTATGAAGTTATGGATTTTCATGTGTTTTTGTGACTTGTGTTTAAAATGGCGATTGCCTCTGCTCGGGGAGATAATTGAGTTACTTCCCAATTATCCCCCGAGCAGAGGGGAGGGAACTGTACTGCATGCTGGGATTATTGTGGGGATGTATGTCCAAAATGTCCCCATGTCCTTCTGTGATTTCAGTCTCCCATTTGGTCCCCTAGGGGAGTGTCCACCAAGTGGGAGACCTGCATAAATACCGGGCAGGTAGCCCACAGTAAATCAGTTCGTGTTTTACCCTCAAAGCGGAGCTTGGTCTCGTTATTGGGGGGATTTGGTTACCAGCGACTAGAGACTGCTTATTTGGATTATTTGCAGCTTGGGAGATATTGACGTTCGGTTACTATTTGCCATTCGTGGATTTGCAGCTCGTGAAGGGAATTAGCCGTTCGGGAGTTTGGAGTGTTCCCTGGCTGGCGGTTCGCATGGTTTTACTATACCCGCTACCCGACCACATTATTGCGAACGGGGAATACTCGCTAAACGGCGGTTTGTACATTTCATTACTGGAGGTACCGTAACACAACCTTACTGCTGATAACTTTGCATGTTACTTCACTGACAAAATTGAACAGCTAAGGAAAGAATTCTCCCCTCCTTGCCTTTCTGTTTCTCAATCACACATAGATCATGCCTTTCCTACCCTTCAGACATTCTCCCCAGCCACTGACCAAGAGGTGGCTGCTCTTCTTTGCGCCTCTCGCCCCACCACTTGCCCCCTCGATCCTGTCCCATCTCACCTTATCAGATCTCTCTCCACTTGTCTTGTGCCTTCTCTAACACACATCTTCAACTGCTCGCTCTCTTCTGGCATCGTCCCTGCTGACCTTAAACATGCCACTGTAGTACCTATACTAAAAAAAACATCCCTCGACCCGTCCACCTCCTCTAACTACCGTCCCATATCCCTGCTCCCTTTTTCCTCAAAGCTTCTAGAAAGACTTGTCTTTACCCGTGTGTCTCATTTCCTCAATTCCAACTCTCTCCTTGACCCCCTTCAATCTGGCTTCCGCCCTCTCCACTCTACAGAGACTGCCCTTATCAAAGTTACTAACGACCTAATCGCAGCTAAATCCAAAGGCCACTACTCCATACTAATTCTTCTTGACCTCTCAGCGGCCTTTGACACCGTTGATCATGCTCTCCTTCTTCAAACTCTGCAATCGCTTGGTCTCTGTGACTCTGTCCTCTCATGGTTTTCCTCTTATCTCTCCCAACGCTCATTCAGTGTCTCTTTTTCTAATGATACCTCCTCCCCTCGCCCTGTCTCGGTTGGAGTCCCCCAAGGCTCCGTCCTTGGTCCCCTTCTATTTTCTCTTTATACTGCCTCTCTTGGCAAACTTATTACCTTATTTGGATTCCACTACCACCTGTACGCTGATGACACCCAGCTATATCTCTCCTCCCCAGACCTCTCCCCTGCTGTCCTGCAACGTGTCACTGCTTGCCTTTCTTCCATCTCTGACTGGATGTCCTCCCGCTTTCTGAAACTCAATCTCTCAAAAACTGAGCTCCTTGTCTTTCCTCCTCCTAATACTGATCCTCCTCTTTCGCTCTCCCTTCAAGTTTGTGGTACCAACATCAGCTCATCCTTGCAAGCGCGCTGTCTTGGCATCATACTTGACTCTGGTCTCACCTTTGAGCCTCACATCCAGCATGTTGCCAAATCCTGTAGATTCCATCTTAAAAACATAGCCCGCATCTGCCCCTTTCTTGCACCAGATACTACCAAGGAGCTTGTCCATGCTCTAGTAATTTCCTGCATGGATTATTGTAACCCTCTCCTGCTTGGTCTTCCCAAAAGCCGTACTGCACCCCTACAGTCTGTAATGAACGCTGCTGCTAGACTGATTTTCCTCTCTAGTCGGTTCTCTCGCACCTCACCCCTCTGCCAGTCCTTACCTTGGCTTCCTGTGTGCTATAGGAGTCAATTCAAGGCTTTACAATATTAAACTCACACCTATAAAGCACTGAACAACTCTAGCCCCTCTTATATCTCCTCACAGATCCATAGGTATGTCCCCTCTCGGTCTCTCCGCTCTGCCCGTGACCACCTCCTGTCCGTTGTCCGCACCGTACGGCCAACTCGCGCTTGCAGGACTTCCGCGGGCGGCTCCCTTCCTATGGAATAGCCTGCCTCCCGCCATCAGACTCTCCCCTAGTCTTGCATCTTTTAAGAAGTGCCTTAAAACCCATCTCTTTAGGAAAGCTTATGGCCTCCAAGACTAACCCCTACCTCACATACCTGTTTCTTGCCCTCTCCAAAAGGGCAGCCCACCTTATTTGATTGCAAATTCCTGTCCTACTGTGTTTTACACCCCACCTCCTATAGAATGTAAGCTCGATTGAAGCTTCAACCTATTGTTCCTGTAAGTTTATTTGTAATTGTCCTATTTATAGTTAAATCCCCTCTCATAATATTGTAAAGCGCTACAGAATCTGTTGGCACTATATAAATGGCAATAATAAATAAATAAATAAATACAGGGAGGGAGAGAACCGAATGAGTGGAGCGTGATTCTTCACAATGGACCCCCATTTTTCTCTCTGCTCCAGCAGACATGGCTGGACCTTTCCGAGGCCATTAGTCCTAGAGTAAGTCTGTTTGGTGAGATAGCCCATCCACGTCCCCATTTTGTTTGCCCGGCCGATAGTGTATGGTGAAGTCGTAGGGTTGAAGAGCAAGACTCCACCGTAGCAAGCGGGCATTGTCACCAGAGACCTGGTTGAGCCAAACTAGAGTGTTGTGGTCTGTGATGAGGGTGAAGGCACGGCCATACAGATACGGGGTTCATTTCTTGAGCGCCCATACTAGGGCCAGGCACTCTTTTTCAATGGCCGAGTAGCTGACCTCCCTGGGCAGAAGTTTCCGGCTTAGGTAGGCTACCGGGTGCTCCCCTCTATCCTCTCCATTCTGGCTCAAAACTGCCCCCATTCCAAACATTGACGCGTCTGTATGGACAATAAAGCGTTTGTCAGGATCTGACAAACACTTTAAAACAAGAGCTTGTTTTAGGGCTTGGAAAGCCACCTCACACTCCGGGGACTACAGGACTCGCTGGGGCAGTTTCTTTCTAGTCAAATCGGTCAGGGGTTTGGCTAGGGTACTATAGTCTGTTACAAAACATCTGTAGTAGCCGGCTGTCCCTAGAAAGGCCATGACTTGTGTCTTGGCACGGGGAGTGGGCCAATTGGCAACGGCCTCTATCTTAGCGGGCTCTGGTCGTTGCTTACCACATCCAACCCGGTGACCCAAATATTGCACCTCCGCCATACCAAAGTGGCACTTATCAGGCTTCAAGGTCAAGCCGCCCCCCTAATCCTATCTAATACGGACCCTACATGCTCTAAGTGTGCCTCCCAGGTATCACTATAAATAGCGATATCGTCCAGGTAGGCACACGCATAATCCTGGAGACCCTCTAATAGTCGGTCCACCATCCGTTGGAAGGTGGCAGGAGCGTTCGTCATCCCGAACGGCATAACCTGAAACTGGTATAGTCCGAACGTGGTAATGAAGGCTGACTTGGGGACCGCGTCCTCTGCCAAGGGAATCTGCCAATATCCCTTGCAGAGGCATATCGTGGTCAAGTACTTTCCCTTAGATATGCGGTCAAGCAGCTCGTCCATCCGAGGCATTGGATAGGCATCAGTTACAGTTTTGTCGTTGAGCCTACTGTAATCGACACAGAAGCTGGTCGTCCCACTTCGGTACCAAGACCACAGGTGAGGACCAAGGACTGTCAGAGTGTTCTATCACTCCTAGCCGCAGCACTTCATCTATCTCCTTCCAAATTCAAAGGTTTAAAAATATCAGGAAGTATTACTTTACTGAGAGGGTAGGGATGCATGGAATAACCTTCCAGCTGAAGTGGTAGAGGTTAACACAGTAAAGGAGTTTAAGCATGCGTGGGATAGGCATAAGGCTATCCTAACTATAAGATAAGGCTAGGGACTAATGAAAGTATTTAGAAAATTGGGCAGATTAGATGGGCCGAATGGTTCTTATCTGCCGTCACATTCTATGTTTCTATGTTTCATTCTCACAGCTCTCAGCATACCTGCCCTCATAGCAGCCTATTGCATGACATGCGCATCATCGTCCTTTTGGCCTATTCCTGTTATAACCCAATTAGAGACATTCAAGAATTACAGACACATGAATTTTGGCAAAATATTCCATGGCTTTAATTAATATATATATAATATATACATTTAAAAGGTCATTGTCAACAACGATTAGGAAGACATCCCCCATTTAACATAACTATACACCAATTACCTCAACCATTTTACAGAATACATCCATATAACCATATAACATAGTATAAATAACATAAACATTAACATTAACCAAGACACCCCTACGCCATTATCACAGCCACCAAGGGCATCCCTTTCCACTGTAGGGGCATACCAAGACACCCCTACACCATTATCCCAGCCAACAAGGGCATCCATTTCCAGTGTAGGGGCATACCGAGACACCCCTACATCCCCAGGTTCGGAGCTACCGACGAGCTCGAACCTACCACCAAATCCAAAGGTAAGTATTCCTCCTGACCTATCCCACTAACCAAAAACCGACCTACCCCCCAATTAACCTAATCCATCCCCCGCCACAGCACAGAGCTTGACCACCTCAAGCCACCTGGAAGCCCAAGTTGAGAGATGCACGCCATCACGCCTGAAATATCCCGGCAACATATCCTCCAGCTCCTTATGTCTACTACCCCACCAGACCTTTTGATAAAAATCGCCACCAACTTATTAAACTTGCGTCTACATCTTGCCATAGCTGAGAAATCCTGCGCATAACGCCAATGGAAACGCGGTACCGTTTCCGACCATACAATAACCACCCCGGGAAGTAAGGACCTCAACTTATCCACATCCCTCTTTATACAACGTACTAATTCCCTTTGTGGTACCAGACCAAAATCATTCCCCCCAGCGTGTAACAATATGAATTCGGGAACCTCCCCCTGACCGATCTTCCGAAATAACTCTAAACATATGTCTCTCCAACCAAAACCCCGGAAACCAAACCATAACAATTGTAAAACATCTGTCGGAAAGCCCAGCTGCGTGCCTTGTCTCCGAACTGCAGCTCTCCGTTCCGCCCAGTAGACATAGGAATGCCCTACTATCCATGCGACTCCACCTGAAAATGAAAGAAATAACTTATAACCTCTGGGCCATAGTATCATGTACCCCATAACATCAAACCTGATTTACACTAACCGATCAGGCCAGACATAAGAGCGGAACCTGATCTCAATCTTTTTAACTAATTTATCACCTAGACCCAACCTCGCCGCCTCCGTGGCAGCCCCAATCCTAAACGAGTGGGTGCCAAACTGCGTGGGATCCAGACCCAGACGTTCCAAACTCAGCTTAAAGACCCTAGCAAACTGAAACTTGGACATCACCGAACCGTCCGCGTGCCGAAAAAACGAACCCTGACCATTTGGACGGATCTCCATATATCGGCGAGCACTGCTCACCGGGCAAACCGCCACCTGAGGTAGTGAAAATAATTTAACTGTACAACCTTTCCCAAAGACATCTGTCTTTGAGCGCCATAACCGAATGGCTACCTGCTCTACCCCTAATTCCACGTCTGCGAACTGAAGACCACCTTGCCTAATTCTGCTGCCACTTACAATTTACACTCACCTGAAAAGCTCTGAAAAAAGCCCATACAAAAGCAACCGTAAATAACAAGACCTCGAATGAGGAGAAACATAGACCTGGCAGGACTCCCAACAGTTGTTGAAGCAAGGCAAAAGACACCGGTCTCCTAGTGTCAGGTTCCAACTTATCCTTACGATAACCCTTCACTGCCTGCCGTACTATAAAGGACTTCGTTGAATCCTCCCACTCATTGAGCTTGAAGAGGAACGCCAACGCTGCAAGGTTCTGGCCGACCACCGCCGGAGAAGCTCCTACCGCGAATAAGTGGCAAAGCAACCATAATAGTGTATCGAGACGTACCACTGTGGAGACCTGATCCCCCGTACAGCCCAAAGCTTCGTCCCAACTTTTCCATACTTTACTATAAGCCGCCCACGTGCCCGGAGCCAACGAATCCCTGATCAGTCCTCCAAGCAAGAGGTCCCGAGCCGCCACATGTGATCCAGACATGACAGACCCTCCATTTGTGCATTCGGAGCCTCCAACCGAAATTTTTCCCACTGAAAGCGAGAAAGCGAATCAGCAATTATGTTCAAGAATCCCGGTGCATGACGTGCACGAAAAACAATATTCAACTGCATGCAATACAAAACAAACCGACGAAGGAGTCGAACCACTGGGACCGATGAAGCTGAAAGATTATTCACCGCCTCCACTACGGCCATATTGTCCATAAAGAAGATCACTCTCCTATCGCGAAAGACTTGGCCCCACAATGAGAGCGCTACTACTAATGGGAATAACTCGAGGAAGGCCAAGTTCCGAATAAGTGGGCTGGCTGCCCAATGTTCGGGCCACTTCTCCGCACACCAATGACCCGCAAAGTAAGCCCCAAAACCCACACTTCCTGACGCATCGGTAAAAAGTTCCAACTCGGACGATTCAATACTTTTATCCCTAAAGAAGACCCGACCATTGAAGTCCTTCAGGAAGGTCTCCCATACCCCCAAATCCTCCCTCATCAGGGCTGTGACCCTGATAAAGTGATGAGGGGACCGTACTCCCGCAGTCGCCTTAGCTAGGAACCGGTTGAATACCCTTCCCACCGGAATAATGCGACATGCAAAATTCAACCGCCCCAATAAGGACTGCACGGTCCGTAGTGTCGCCTTTTTTGCCCTACGCAACTCTGAAATGGCACCACGGAGGGACTCCAGCTTATCCAGTGGTAACCTGCATTCCCCGGCGACCGTATCTATTTCAAGGCCCAGAAAGCTAAGGCATGTAATAGGCCCTATGGTCTTGTCGCGAGCCAGAGGTACCCCAAAAACATGAGTCACCCATTCAAGACACCTTAACCCGAAGCGACAAGCGCCGGAGCCGGCCGGCCCGACACACAAGAAATCGTCCAGATAATGGACCACGAACTTGGTGCCCGCTTCCACCCTCACCACCCATTCCAGGAAGATACTAAATTTCTTAAAGTAAGCACATGAAATGGAACAACCCATGGGCAAACAAAGATCTACAAAATAATTTCCATCAATATAACAGCCTAATAAATGGTGACACCTCGGGTGGATGGGTAGAAGGCAAAAAGCCGCTTCTATATCCGCCTTTGCCAACAACGCTCCCCGTCCTGCTTCCTTTACCAGCTCGACCGCTTGGTCAAATGATGCATAAGAAACAGAACAAAGAGCCCCGTCAATGTCATCTGTTAAAACACCCCTGGTGTCTTTAAACGAAACCGCCGTTTAGTCAGCCTTCCCCTTCTGCAATATCAATAATCTCCGTTCGCATAAACTGCAGTGTACGAACCAAGCTCAGGGGAAGCGGCAATCTCCCGACCGGGATCCATGAACGGCTCCAAACTCCCGAACGGAAATCCACGAACTGCTGTTAGCCGCCGAACAACAACATCCACCAAGCGGCTTTCGGTTCCATCCAGCAGTCTCTAAACGCAAAGAAGAAATCCCCCCAATAACGAGACAGAAGCTCCACATTGAGGGTCAAACAGGATCTGGCTTTACTGTGGGCTACCTGCCCGTATTTATGCAGGTCTCCCACTTGGTGGACACTCGCCTAGGGGACCAAATGGGAGACTGTAATGACAGATAGACATGGGGACATTTCAGACATAGTCACAGTTTTTACCCACAATGCACTAGGGTTTCCTCCCCTCTGCCCTGAAGATAATTAAGAAGTAACTCAATTATCTCCAGGACAAAGCCAGTCGCCATCTTAAATATAAAACCAGAAAATACATAAAAATTCATAACTTTACAATAACCGAACATTTCCCATTCGTATCACATATCCCCAGATAGCCTGGATCTGAGTGCATATTATTAGCGAATAGCACTCAGATCCCACACACATAGTTCAATCGCCATGGAGTCAAAGTTCTTAAATCTTTCGGTATGCGATTGACTCCATGGGAAGGCTATCTGGGTTAAGTCCTTTCGTGTGTTACAAAACTCCCGAACGGCCGGTGTTCGTACGCTTTTGTGGAGGCACCCAGGCGTTCCGTTGTTTCAGCGGTGTTCGGCAGAAAAAGTGTCCATTTTTAGTTCCATGAAAATAGAGCCGAACACCGCTGGGCTTTCGCGTGTTTTAAAATGGCCGCTGCCTCGTGGTCGACATACGAACGACGACCACCCTGAATTCGGTTTAATTGAGAAGTGTCTGCGGTTAACCACAACGTTCTAATTGGGATCAATAGGTTAACCAGCAGCACACTTCTCTCCTGGGTGGCCATCCGTTCGGTAGTTTTGTTCGGGAAAAACAGTCATTCGTATGGCTGGGCTATAGGAAACAGCCATTTACACGAACGGGGCAAAACAGACAAATCCACCAGCAATAAACAGACAGATGGTTCTGTCACATCATCATTGACTGATGACCCTTTCGGTTACGACAAGTGGTGGATAAGGCGAAATTTTCCCGTCTCCTTCTTGGGCACCACACCTAAAGGAGAAACCCTAAGATCTGGCAGAGGTGGCTCC